ACTGCGCTTTGAACCGTTTAATTCTTTTATTTAAATGTTTACTACACGCGTTTTAGTATTTAAATATGATAGCCAATATAACTATTCCACGCGTAAGAAGCCGTGGGCACAGCTCGTCCTATATGTAGCGTTCGAATACCATCCTTACTAATATTATAAATGCGAAAGTAACTCTGTCTGTATGTCTGTCTGTTACTATTTCACGCTAAAACTACTGAACGGATTTGAATGAAATTTGGTATACATATGGTCTAGACCCTGAGAAAGAACATAGGATACTTTTTATTGCGAAAAGGGGGTTGTAAGGGGTTATAAAGAGGGGTGAAAGTTTGTATGGAATTTCGTGGTTTTTGAAGATAGAACATTGAAACTTTCTTCTTTGACTATTTGAGAATAGGAGTGGGGGGGGGAGTGGGAGTGAGAGTAGGAGTGATGTGAGGTAAGAGTGTTGCGGCAAAGTAGCACTTACAACATAGATTGGCTGCGATAAATACGCGATTACATAAATTAATAAACAGCCTAAATAATTAAAAATTCTACCCCAAGTCACTATTCCACGCGAACGAAGTCACGGGCACAGCTAGTTTTTAATATAGAAGAAATTTTCGTAGTTCTACGATGACTCAAGAAATGAGTGGTACAATCCTTTGTCCCTAATAAAAGAAGGATCGTCGAGGCAAAAACCGCATTGTGCCCACTCACAGTAAATCAGTCAAATCTGAATTTTTATTATGGCAATAAATTAGCGCAAAATGGCGGCCACTTGTCACTTGTCAAGCGCAGCGCAGCGCGAGAAAAACGCGGGAAAAAGTCGTGAAAATCCACGACAACACAACAGATTTATAACAGCTGTTTCTCGTGTCAACGTTGGATTTATTTGATGTAAACAATCTTAATACAAACGGCCGTTTGTACATTTCGGTTAATTGTTGAAATTATGCATTTATTGCGCCAAATAATACGGGGTGGGTTTTAAGAAAAAAAAATTCAACACAAGATAGCTGCTGTGAACCGTTGAGGATTCCCGTCGGCTGTCTCTCGGCTCCATCGTCAGATCTACTCCAAATTAGTGGATAGGTCGTGGAATACCACAAAAAAATCTACAAAGCATTTTTAATAAACTACCAGAACACATTGCCGATGGGCGAAAGAATTTCACCCTCCTATTTACGCCAACAATCAATTATATTAATTCATTACTTAATAATGTTTCCCGCTTAAGTCACTGTTATATCAAATGGTTGTATGAGTGCTGTCCAACAGACGAGCCGTAGGGTTTTGCTGAAAATCAGTGTTGTAATCGTGCTGCAACTTATGCTGACGTAAGACCCTTTTTAGCATCATTTTTAATCTAATTAAATTCAATCTTGTCGTATTAATTATTTTATTGTAATTACATTTATTTCTACAACTACTTCTAATGAATGTACAAAATGAATGCCATTTATCAATAAGTTGAAAAAATTCGTCGGTGAGGTGTAGGACTCGGTAGAGCAACAGCACGGAACGCTGACGATGCCGGTTCACGTCCTGCCCGAGTTTAAATTTTTTTCAATGTATTTTCGATTTTTAAATTATATAGTGCCTTCGTGCGCAATAACACGTGAAAAATAATAAAGTTTTCAAAATAAAAACAGGTTTAAAAAGCATTTAAATAAAACACTTTAACGGTTTAAAACGCGATACTATGCTACGCTAACGCTCGACAAAATGTGTTTTTAAATCACTTCCTTGCTTTTAGAAATTTCTTTCGATCGCCATTATTAAAGAGGTGGGTCTGGTTGTTCATTGATCATTGGATTTAACGGTTCCATCGATTTAACAATGATCACGACTATTTATAAAAAGTCATCCCTTCGCGTTAGGTATTTTATTAAAGAAATTTTTAAGCATTTCTGCTACACGTTTTGGAAGACTGCCCGAAAAGTGTAAATATAAGTTGTAAAGGCAAATTAAATAATACATTCTCAACTAGCTGTGTCAGCGACTTTGTCCGCGTAAAATAGTTATTTTGGACATCCAAATTTGTTTAAATAAAACACTTTAACGGTTTAAAGCGCGATATATTAGTTAAACTTATTTGGAAATGATTTTTAACTTCGGCCCGACGTTTCGGATGCTTTGCAGCAGCCGTGGTCACGGGGAGACTAACTTGTGTGCAAATGGGCATTGAGAGATGAAAATTATAGACATTTTATAAATAACGGACTGTACTTGTTGTTACTGAAATATCGTTATAAACAGATATTGTGTGCAAATGTGCATTGCGAAATGACGATTATAGACATTTTGTGACCACGGCTGCTGCAAAACATCCGAAACGTATATCGCATTTTAAACCGTTAAAGTGTTTTATTTAAACAAATAATTTTCGTATTTCAGAAAAGACTATTGGCTGACAGAAGGTATACACAAAATCACTCGGTTACAAGTTTTATAAGGGGAAGGGAGTTATTGAGAAAGTCATAGACAAGTATGACGCTCAGATAAGACTTATCGATGAGAATGTCAAATTCAAGTTAGACCAGGTTAGTATTAAGCAGAGTTTAAACTCTTTAACGGTTTAAAACGCGATATATTAGGTAAACATATTTGAAGAAACATTTCAAATCAAGTAGAGGTCGCCATGGCTACCATTAGACCAACAAACCGTGTCTTACCTATACTAACATTATAAAGCTGATGAGTTTGTTTGAACGCTCGTGGCTGGTGGAAAATGTGGAAGGATGGAGGAAATTACTATTTTTTAAGGGTTTCTGTTGCGTGCATTGCCAATTGGTTAGAGATACATTTTTTTATTGGATATGTAAGTTTGAAAGAATGTAGATTCTATAAGTGATCTAGAAAAGTCTGTCGCGGACATTACTTTTTTGTTTATCTTTTAAGATTAACTAGCAAGAACGACGGAACGTGAATGTCGTAGATAACAGCTATAATTAGGCCGCTAGAGGCAGAGTGGCCTAATAACAAAAACATGTTTTTCAATAGGAAGGAAAATAAAAGTAACTATTATTTGTGTACGAATCGTGTTAACAATTTTCGGACACTGGGCTCTTGTGATTAACATTTTTAGACTATGACAATATAAACTCAAGTAATAAAATAGCAGTTAGGCTACTATGTCTCTAACGACGAAGAGATTGTTTGCAAAAGTAAATGTGATGTCCAAAATAACTAATCCACGCGAAGTCGCGGGCACAGCTATCGTATAAAGTTAGGACTGTGGAGTGTTGGTTTTAGTTAGTCTTCGTTTAGTAAGAGAGCAAGTGTTCAAGATATTAATTTATTAAATAAAACAATAAATCAATAAAACATATATTTCACATTCGATTGTACATCCATAAATACAATATTTGATAACATTTAAAAATGCAAATGGATCAAAATGGTATTCAAAATATTTCAAGTTGAATCCATAGAGAAATATTGAATAAAATCGTACATATACCATGTTGGATTTGGATCTTAAGGCACCAAGTGGAAGGAGTATCCGATATTATAGATAAGCGATTCGAATAAATTCATTTATTATTACGGATTATCATTTAATAAGTACGGCACCTAATAACTAGCACTACGCGAGTCAATATCTGAAAATTCTTATAATGACCCTTTTATCCCCCTCCCCCCAGTGTGGGGCATCTGGCGACAAACATTTCTGTGTCCCAGGATACTAGGTGAGGCGCGATATAGCGCGGAGACAGTTGATTATAAAAATTTTCAAAAATATCCAAATATTGACTCAAATTTACGCTCACTGACTTTTTCTAAGCTGTTACGTTACGTTTACGTTAAATTGTTGAAGAAGGCGTGACGCTTCAATCACACTTAATGGACGATAGTGTCTGTTCGGAGACTTACAACCACGGAAAGATCCAGCTGCGGGGGTCCACCTTGAATAATAATAACGAGAATCTTGTCGAGTTGTCGGATCGAAATTCTCAAAGTGGAGGGGAAGACATTTCCAACAAGATTAAGTCTAAATTATCCCCCCCCCCCTCTTCCTAAGACCCTTGAACAATATGAATTTTATTAACATTTATTTTGATTATAAATGTAATAAGTCAGAGAGCGTAAACAACTATGTATATAAAAATCGCAAATGCCTTTAAATACTTCGAAAAACCTAAAGCTAGCTTAAAACTGTAATTTAAACAATTCTACTTAAAAATTAAGCATTCACCGCGAAATTGTCATATCGTAGACAGTGTTGCCCTCTACTGCTGTTTAATAGTACCACAAAAGATTAAGATTTCATGTTTTATTTGTTTACTCTAAATAGGGTATTCGACGGTATTAACTGCTTAAAAATATTTATCAAAGTTAAATACTCTAAAAAAAAAAACTACTGTGGTAGCAACATTGGTGACGTCATTGGGCTGTCAATATGGCGTCTTTGATCGATTATAATCAGAGACAGACACACAAGTATGAGGTTTCATTTAACGAAGGTAAAGGTATTCGAAGCCATCAAAAAAGTTGTGCTGTCGTCCTATTTTGCCTCTGAAAACTCGGAAATCCACAGACTAAAAATTTACGGATATTAATACACAAATATCGAGACGTTATTTGTTTAAAAAATGATTAGCATTTTTGTCACGGCCGATTCAAATCTACGACTTTGATTATTAGCGACAATACCGCTGGATTAACAAGACCGTCTTGTTTGTCTTATCTATAATACGATAGTTTTTTTACATTAATGTGACGTGGAATAATTTAAAACCGTTAAATGCAGACAAATACCCTATGTTAGGATGAGAGAGGTTTTTGCTTAATAATCTTATAAGGGCAGTAATATTCGTTTATGTAAATTGAAGTACCACTAACGGTCAATAGGGTTCCGTAGACTTTGTTCGCTTCCCCTTCAATTTACACACGAAGGAAATGAATTTAAGCTTAAAATAATAAAAAATGTGATGTTAAAAAAGCGTAAAACAACATTGAAATTTTATAATTTCAATATTTCATTTCCTCTCAGTAGATTATGGTAGTTTGTGCTACTTCTTCAGTAGTTTCTCTTCTTCCGGGTTCTTCTCGTCGTTCTTATACGTGGAGTTTGTGAGAATGCTCGGCGGGAGGAACTGAAAAGTTGAAAGGCATTGAATTAATAAAAAAAAAACATAGACCCACATCTTTTTTTCAGGAGTTGCTTGTTTAATGACAGAGGTCAGACAAGCACTTGATGAGCTATTAAGACGCGCTATCGACCTGTTGGCTTTGGATATTCGGAAACTTTACGAAGTCCAACATGTTCCGGAAAAATTATACCTCTTTGATACCACAACAGAACTGATGATGACGAACTGACAACTTAATGTGATCTACGAGGGTGACACCTCCTATTTGTATAATTCTGATGATGGAGAATTTCTTATACGGACCTTATATTTGCCTGATCCGGGATTCGATCCTAACCTTACCAATCGCAAAGTATAGTCTGTGTTTATACAAGTACTATTTTAATCGCTTTAACGGTTCAAAACGCGCAATATCTTAATATAATTTATTACCCCCTTAGCCACGACTGTTGACACAGTCAAAGTGGATTTGTATTTAATAATATATCTCGCGTTTTAAACCGTTAAAAGTGATTTATTTTAATATGTGATTCTTAAATAAAAGTACCTTTCTAGTACTTTGTTTTGGGAACGTCCAGGTCCTGATAGCATGAAATAATAAGTAATTTGCTTAATTCTAAAGTGAGCAAACAGATCACGTAAACAAGTTTGGTTCTAGGACAGTCTCTTTAATGAGTACGTTTTACTAGTAAATATTAGTTTTCTGCCCTGCGCGACCGTAACAAATCTTTGAATTTATTAAAAATAATGATACTAGCAACACCAATGTTATATAAAAAAAGGAATTATAATTATATGGAAGAATGACTAATAAATTAAAATTTTCTTTACATTTTTTTTTTGATAATCTGTCTCAACCTATTTTGAATAACAAGGTTAAGAAATAGATAAAGGCGAAATATAGAACTTAAAATATTGTTTAAGAATCAACTAAGACTCAATCATAAACATTGTATTCAAATAAAAAGACAAACAAGAAAAAGTCCAAACCTGTTTTAAAGTGGATTTATCATTTTCAATTATCTCTTCCAGCTTATCTCCTCCCTCGCGCAGTAACTGAAATTAAATTTCATTAAAAAACATTTGTAAGAGAAAGTTAATACGGTTAATTGTCAAATATTAAAGATTGTCAGAAACGTCACTGTCAGTTGTCACTAATCTCTACTAATATTATAAAGTTAAAATATATCGCATTTTAAACTGTTAAAGTACATATTTAAATTGAACACTTTAACAGTTTAAAACGCGATATATTTTAATGGAACACTTTAACAGTTTAAAACGCGATATATTTTAATAAAACACTTTAACGGTTTAAAACGCGATATATTTAAATAAAACACTTTAACGGTTTAAAACGCGATACATTAGTTAAGTATGTTCATTTGTTTGTTTGAACGCGCTAATCTCAGGAACTACGGGTTCGAATTAAAGAAGAGCGTGTGTTGGTCGGACCATTGATCATGGAAGGCTATAAAACATCAGGCTGCGACGAATAGGAGCGAAGGCTAAGGGTTGACCAAACCGTGGAAAATGGGGAAAATATATTAGGTATCAGATATTAATATTTCTCTATTTCAGTTATTGTTTTTAAAAAACATGTTAAGACAACTATTTACATTCCAAGAGGGAAACTAGTTTGTACGGGTAAATCAGTAAGTATGTTTTCTGTAAAAACAATATTGTACGCAAGCACTAGATTTCTTTTCATTAAAAGAACAATAATTTCCCCCGTTTTTTCCACATTTCCCTCTTTCGCTGCTATTCGTTGCAAATAGACAATAGTCTAAAATACTAAGATATTGTTTTGTTCGACCCACTAGTTCCCAAATATCGCGGGTTCAAAATCTTCAGCTTTATAATATAGGTATACGTTTTATTGTTTAAGAAAAAACGTATTTATATTCTATTCTTAATACATAATATTCATATGATCTTAAAACTTGTCTTATAACGCCATTAAAATTGTATCAAAATAATTTATCCGTTTCGTACCTTATCGACTTCTGGTTCGATTTGCTCGTTAGTGCCGCCCTTATTTAAAACGCCTTTCTCCATTAACGTCGCACGCTTAGCTGCCAAGTACATTGATCTGAAGAAAGAGAAAGTAATTAATAACATCAATAAATAAATAAATAAATAAAATAAAATATATTTTATTCTCTTGAAAATGTTAAAAATTATTTAGATTTTTTCTGAGAAGAACACACAAGAAACTCAGTCCGGTTTTTTTATCATGTCTTATAAACTAATACATTGTGAATTTATTAACCTAAGGAGCGACTCATTTCACTGCCAGGCGGTCTTGTCATTAAAGAAATCGTTCAGACAATAATACGCCTTTTGAGACGATCTAAGTTTTATAACTTTTTTTAATTTATTTATCGATAAATTTGAAACCTCGACTGGCAGTGTATTATACATACGAATACAGTTTCTCGCATCTTCGTTAAGATTACGATAGAAAAAAAAATCCAGACCGAATTTGAATGTAGTCCATTCGACCTGGTTGTGTTAAACTTCAAAAAGTATTGTATTGTCTATAATAAAAATTATGAGTCTAGGGTTTCTAGCAATAAATGAGACAGTGAGAGGCAAATGATCATTAATTTATAATTTTCTGAAATATGGACTTCGTCTGGATATGAAATGGGGGGGGGGGAATATCGAAATTCCGTCCGGGTCAAGAACCACTGCCCACAGATGAAAAAGCAGTCTAGTTTAATTTCGGTTTCAATCTGTGGATTTCCAAATATAAAAGCCTCCTCTATCATAAAAAACATTAAACATTCAGTTATACCACCACTAGTCATTTGAAATTCTATATAATTTAGTGTTTTAATGTAAATCAATGTAATTGTGTGTTTGTTCACGAAAAATGTCATGTTAGAAAAAATACACACGAGGCTTTTTGAGGCATAGTGGCCTAATAACAAAAAACATTATTTTAAATAAGGAGGAAAATAAAATATGAATAAGTCGAGATAAAAAATTGCAGTTAGGCTACTCTGCCCCATGCGTTACCCCTTGATAACGTAATATTGTTACCTCTTGATAGTAAGATAGTAGAGTTCAGCAATGGCCTTCACGGAGTAGTCTGGTACGAAGGTGTGACGCAGCATGGAGTCCATGTTCAGGTTTTGCAAGGAGCCCAAGGTGGATGGAGCTGGGGACTCGGCTGAAACATGAAACGTTATTAATATATGTCAAGTGCGTAGGGTAACAAAAATTGACAACAAAAGGAGTGGCGGCGAGTTTCTTGCCAGTTCTTCTCGTTCGTTCTAGGGCCATGATTTGAGAACTGGTAATTCTCTTCCGTCAAATTTTAAATCATTCAGTTGAACTCACCAAGTCCAACGTTCTGTGTAAGTGCTTGTACTCCGAAGTACGTGAATGGTCCGGCTTCAAATACCAAGTTCTCTCTTCCCACCGTGACCTCTACACGACCTTCGAGGATCAGCACGAAGTAGTCCGACTGGATAATAACAGAAGTCAAAATATATATTTTCTCAATTTAAAAATCGAAAATAAATTGAAAAAATTTTCGACTCGTGCAGGACTTGAACCGGCATCGTCAGCTTTCCGTGCTGTTGCTCTACCAATTGCGCTACCGAGTCCTACACCTCATCGTCGAATTTTTTCAACTTATTGATACATGCACCTCTCGCGCAATGTAATTTCAACCTTAACACATGCGTATTAAGGTTCAATGTCTTATGCTTTGCAGCTTAAGGAATAATTAAAGATGAAAATTACAAAGTTATTACGTTTGAAAACCTTGAAGGCACTATATAATTTATAAATCGAAAATAAATTGAAAAAATTTTCGACTCGGGCAGGGTTCGTGTGCCCGAAATATATATTTTCATCAAATAAATTGATAATATAATGCCATTATGCTTGTAACACGATTAATTTGACAATACAGGCTTTTAACGGTTTATAACGCGAAATATTTGTTATGTTACGCGATATGTTAGTTCACATTATTTTAACTACGGCCCGACGTTTCGGATGCATTGCAGCAGCCGTGGTCACGAAAACAAACTATATTTCGCGTCTACGACGAAATATATTTCACGTTTTAAACCTTTGAAAGTGTTTTAATTACCACTCAAGTACCACTGGCATAGACTACAGAGATTACAATAAGTGTACCAATACTTTTTTGTGTTTAAAACTGTTACTTTCGCTTTATTGAAATGTGCACTACTCGCGTAAACTACACACAGTACTTACTAAGTTTAGCAATATATTTCGCGTTTTAAACCGGTCAATATCTTACCGGTTTCCCTTCCTGATAGACGAATCGTTTTGGATCGTTCTTGTCCTCATCACCACGTAATTTGATATGTTGGATGACATCTTGCTTCAGTAGCCTACGGAGAACCGTTTCCGATATCATATCGGCACGGAACGGATCGACACCTGTAATGAGTTTTGCATAGTCAGCGATTTATATATGACGTGAGAAACATTTTATGAAGGCTGTAATATAGATCTGTAGTTGCCTTTTAAAGTGCTTAACTGCTGCTAAACTTCAAAAGTGTTGCCTAGCATAGCGTTAAGCAAGTCCTGGGTTCGAGTCTCGGGGAAACAATGGTAGCGATGTATGGCTAATAATCGACAGGTTGGAAGGTTCAAGAAGGATTCAAGAGCCGTGAAGTTTAATCTCGTTCCAGTTTCAGTGCCTTCGAAGCCAAACCCAAAACAGGTCGAGAGCGCATCTCGTTAGGATTTCACCTTCCATGAAGTGAACTCAGCTTGTCTGTTCTCCTCTATCAATTTTTTTTTGAACCACATTCTTTCTAAATAACCACAACGTGTTTAAATTAAACGGTTAAAAATCTTGTAGGTATAAAGTGTGTTTTTTCTAACTTGACATTTTTGGTAAACGGACACAATTTACTCATCATCAGGCCATCACTAGTTCTCTATGGTTTGAATGTATGTTAATATTTGTGTTAATTTATAAGCAGTTATAGTGCTTACGTTTTAAGACTTCGACAAATTGTACACTCGCTACGAATATAACTAAAAACACTTAGCCTAGGATGTATACATACTGGTGCTGAGGAATTGGAAGGTGGCTAAGATAAGCTGCGGCGAGACGTGGACACGCTGATGCTGGTGGCCAGCAAATGCTGCTATATCGTGCAGTTTGTTCAGCGGACGGGCTAGGCGTTTCTTCGTCCTGTTGTCCGCTGGAAATATTTAAATAATTATGAGACATTTAGATATTAAATACTGTCTGTTATCGCGAGTAGTACACATTTTAATTAAAACACTTTAACGGTTTAAAACGCGATGTATAGGTAAATTTATTTGGTCATTCCTCCATAAAGCATCCGAAACGTAGGACTGTAGTTAACATAATTTGTAAATGAATTTAACTAATATACATCGCGTTTTAAACCGTTAAAGTGTTTTATTTGAATAAAAAGTATTACAGAGCCAGGTGTACCACTAAGCTTTACTATTAAAAAAAGTTTTACTGTTTTCCAAATTCAAATAAATGGAATTCTTAAACACAGAGAAAATATTTCAAATCGAAGTAGTCAGTGCGACGAAATTTATTTATCTGTATATAAAATTTTAACGTTAAGTGAATAAACTCACTATTTAACATTTTGTAAAATATTATAGTTAAATATGGCCTGTAATTTGTTGCTTTATTTCGTCGGGTCGTGGGTTCGACCGCTACCATTTGCTTGATCTTTCTAAAACGTGTTGTACTTCGTCCGGAAATCTGGATATTAAATGCGTGGTAGAAATATCGAAATCCCATCCGAGTCACGAACGAAGTCAACAGATGAAAAAGCCGTGAAGTTTAATCACGTTTCGATTTCACATTAGAAAAATTATACTCACTTATGACGTCACTCTCGTCTACAATCTCCGCTTGGATCATCTCCTCTATGACGTCTTCAAGGGTGACAAGACCAACCGTCTCGTAGACCGGGTCACCGTCGCCCTCTTCAATGCGCTGAACAAATGCCATGTGACCTTTGTGACCTGGGAAGAACAAGGGAAATTCAATAAAACACTTTAACGGTTTAAAACACAAAATATATAAGTTAAGCGTGTTTAAATATTTTCTGCATTGTACGCTAGTCGTACACGTTTAAATAACGGTTTAAAACGCGATATTTAACTTCTTTACATATTAATTTAACTAATGTCAAAATAAAAACCGCTACGGTGCCGCCATCTGTTCCGTATTAAAAATAATGAATATATAAACAATATTCCACAGATGAAAAGCCCGTGAAATTTAATTGCGTTTCGGTTTTAGTCTGTGGGTTTCCGAATATCCAAAACTTGTTTACGTTAGATGGCTGGGGATATTCTTCCATCAAGTAAACTCCAAGCTAGTGTCTTCCTCTATCATAGAAGTCTAAGCCTTTGTTTACGTTTTAATTTCTAATCTACTAGCTGTGCCCGCGACTTCGTCCGCGTGGAATAGTGGGGGTAAAATTGGGGTAATTTTTTTAATTATTTAGGCTGTTTATTAATTAATGTAATTGCGCATTTATCGCAGCCAATATATGTTGTAAGTGCTACTTTGACGCAACACTCTCACCTCACATCACTCCTACTCTAACTCCCACTCCTATTCCCAAAAAGCCAAAGAAAAAAGTTTCATTGTTCTAGCATCGAAAACCACGAATTTCCATACAAACATTCATCCCCTTACAACCCCCTTTTCGCAATAAAAAGTAGCCTATGTCCTTTCTCAGGGTCTAGACCGTATGTGTAACAAATTTCATTAAATCCGTTCAGTAGTATAGTCGTGAAAGAGTAACAAACAGAAAGACAGAGTTACTCTCGCATTCATAATATGTATTAAGTAAGAATGATTTGGGTTCAAATTTAAAAAAAAACAAAGTTAATTATTTCGGTCCAGACGCGTAAAAGCAGCTGCAGTTATAAATGTCTGAAAGATTGCCAAAAAAATTTCAAACGTCTAAAGATCGTATGATTAACGTTTATTTTCAGGTCTGGGCATCGTTCAATTTACGAGCCGCGGAGAGATTCGGTCAGTCTGTGGTTTGTGATAGGGTTGACACATTATTGTAAGCCACAGAAAAACACAATTCACTTGCAGGGGTAGGTGCGACTGTTACTGTCTAAATAAAGCAATTTAACGGTTTAAAACGCGATATATATTAGTACATTTATTTTAACTACGGCCTGAAGTTTTGGAGTCATGATTACGTTTTTTGCAAGGCATCCGAAACGTCGAACTTAGAATGGATTCAAATAAGTTAACGAATATATTTCTCATTTTTAAACTGTTAAAAGTGTTTTATTTCAATGTATAGTACTCGCGTAAACGTCACACACTTTGTGCCCTAATCTTTCGCGCTTAACCATTCAGTTACAGCAGCGTATTTGAATATTTTGCGTTGCACTTACGGTCTTTTATAAGTCAAACAAACTATTAAAAACTCGCCCCATATGGGACTCGAACAAAAACAAACGCTTACAAATTAAACACAAAATTAGTTGTTTCATTTTTAAGCACCTAATTTTGTGTGACACCTTTCCGTCGTGGTCGGTAAACAATTTTAAATATCGCGTCGAACTTTGTAATCATTGAATTATTTTATTTGCGTTTCGAACGGTCTAAATTGTTTTATTTCGTGTGCCACTCGCATGAACCGCAAAATCAATTTTTTGTAATCGTATCTATAAATAATAATAATGTAACGTACTATCTTTGTGCAACCCCTAACATAATACAAAATATGTTTAAGTAAACATTGATATAAGAAGGTGAAGTTACCATTTAAGTAACTGTAACATTTGACGAATTCATTAGTGTAACGATAACAATATATGGTGGTAACCGATGGCGGGTTCGATTCTCATCAGATCCAACGGGTAGCTAAATAATTTATAATTTTTAAACATCGGCTTCGTCGGGATATCTAGATATTAAATGGATGGTAGGTATATCGATATCCCGTCTGGGTAACTAACCACCCTCCAGAGTTTTATTAATAAAGCAGAAGAGATTGCAAGAATTATAACTTATATTTCTTTCCAAATTAAAAATCGGTTATAAATTGAAAAATTTATCACTCGGGCAGGACTTGAACAGGCATCCACGGAGTACCGTGCTGTTGCACTAACCAATTGAGTTGGGTCTATCTTTATATGCCATCGTGTGCAACCGTTTCCAACCAACTTTTTTTCTTTCAAAAGTAAATAATATGCCCAAAATAATCTTACTACGCAAAGACGAAATCGCGGGCACAGCTAGTTTAACAATAAAAAAACATAGGAATAACTGAAACAAACACAACAAAATGGCCGCGCAACGGAAAAACAAAATGGCCGCTGAACGGAAAAACAAAATGGCCGCGGAACGCCAATGCAAGTATCAAGTCTTACCTTCTTTAAACTGCTTCAGCATGACGTCCAGGGTAACGTCTTCGAAGACGAAGTTGCAAGGGTTCTGATAGTACTGGCAGAGCGTGCGCAGGGGCGTGTTGTCGTCAGGGTCCACGAAGGCCAGGTCCTTGATGAACAGCACCGTCACTATGTTGCCACGCTGGCCCTCGTACACCGGTATACGGGAGTAACCTGGTGTAAAGATAAGGAATTTGTAAATATAAAGATTGACAGAGCTTTTAGCTCTTTAAGGTGCATCTTAGTTAAGTATTGTCTGTAGTTTGACATTTGAATAAAACACTTTTAACGGTTTCAAACGCGATATATATTTTCTTATATATATACCGCCGCACGTTTCGGATTGTTTGTCGTGACCATGGCGGCTGCAGAGGGTCCAACGTGAGGACGTAAGGAGTTAAAATAAATGGTAAGTAACATAATATATTTCTCGTCTCAAGCTGTTGAGAAGACTAATTGGATGGCAAATGGGCTAACGATTTGCAAACGCCAGGCCCAAAGCCGTGAAAAGGTTGGGCTTAATTCCGTCGGAAGTGACGTCACATGACCTAAATCTGAAACACTTCTGTCTATAAAATTCTCCTGTCAATGTTTGTGACCATCGAAACAACTGAACCGTTTTTAATGAAATTTTCATTGTGATTTGTTACGCTTGAGAATATGTTTTTGGCGTCCTCAACTCACGTACACGCAATAAGTAAAATATTTTAGGAACCGCCTGTACTTTACGTTTTAAATAAAACACTTTGAACGGTTTAAAACGCGAAATATATTTATTTGTAGTTGCCGTAGTTAAAATTATTTGTAAATAAGACCATGTAATTCATTTTGCGTTTTAAACCGTTAAGAGTTTGATTTAAAAGTTCATTTTAGTACAGGTAGGTTTTTTACCATTCTACTACACTAAACTAACTATAATTATAGTAACTAAAGTAACTCATCTTTAATAGGTACGCGTATTTAGTTATCTTGTTGTTACATTATCTAGTATAACGCTACGCACAAGGTTTGAATTCTGCCATAAAAAAATGGCTTGACACGAGACACAAAAGTATGAAAATATTAATTTTAAATAATATCGATGAATGAAAAACATGCAAAAATTTTTAAATTATTTTGTATTTTTTAAATTATTATTACTTCACTATCTTGAAATATATTTAATTTCATTAAACGATATTTAATTTAATAATAAATCGGGGTTTAATCCGTTAAATTAGTTGTGTAATAATAATTGTAAAAAAATGTATTTCATAGTTTTGTACATACTATTAAGTACTGTATGTGTGTATATTTATATTTTTCATAATGTTTTTTTTTTCAATTTATAATCGATTTTAAAAAATCCCCAACTCACCAGACTTAACAATCTCCGTCATCGTTTCAAAGTCCAAGATGGAGTTGATCGGAAGCATGTAGCAGTCCTTCAGCTTGGTCATCACATCCTTGACCGTTTTCTTGCGAAGGTCCAAGGCACCGGAGATAATGTTGACCTCCTCTTTGTCGAGATCGTTCACGTGGTTTGTTACCTGTTGCATAATGCAGACCAATGAATAAATGAAAAAAAAAATCGAATCGTGATATCAAAGATCTTGGTGACAGTGCTTCCTTTGATTAATCTATACTAATATTAAATACTGTCTGTACTTTACGCGAGTAGTACACATTTAAATAAAAGGCTTTAACGGTTTAAAACGCGAATTATATTAGTTGAACATATTTGAAACGTCAGTCCGTAGTTAAAATAATTTTCAAATAAGTTTAACTAATTAAAATAATGTTTCGCGTTTTAAACGAAAGTCAAATATTTTAATGAAATTTATACATTTATATAAAACACTAATGTTGTAATGTATATTAAATAATAATAATAAAATAATAAAAAATGTACACGACGACGAGATTATTTGCAAAACTAAATATGATGCCCAAAATGGCTATACCACGCGAACGAAGTCGCAGGTACAGCTAGTAAAACATAATTTGTACGTTTGTGTCTTCTTGAAAGCACGGTACTTAATTTTTGTAGTTACATTAAATTTATTTGCTAAATAACATTATTTTTACAAGCACTCAAATTTGTTTCTGACAAAATACTAACAATTCCATAATTTATTATAAATTTTGATATCATAATTACTAGGTCGTAACAAGATATTTTGCACTATCCCTTAAAATCCGTTTTATCTCACGTCATACGCACGATAAATATTTTTTTTTATTTTTTATTTATTTATTAGATTCACCAACGTTCTTACAACTAAATACTTAACCTAAGATACATGTTTAAGGGGACAAAATAGGTTGTGAAGAACAATTAAAGGCGAATACAGCAAGTAAAACCAAATATTATACGAGAGAAGAGCACACATTGTAAAATTTAAGTGGGAATTAACTTATACATTTAAATATTAAAAGAAGAAAAATAAGATACTAAACAAAGTATTTTTTTTAATGAAGTGTCTATACATTGAGATAAAACTTATTAATAAGTAATCGACGGAGTTTGTTGGGTGAGTCATGGTAAATATCGACTACGCCTCGCCTGCGCTATCGAAACATTTAAAAAATACTATATAGCCGAGACTCGAACCGGCATCCACAGCTTTCCGTGCTGCTCTAACCAATTCAGCTACAGTGCCATTAGTGCCAGCAGCACGGAATCCTTTTTTTAAATCTAATTAGTTTTTTTATTTATATAATGTCATAATGTGCATACGTGTGAAACATATTTAACTTTTTAAAAGAATGTACGTAGACAAGTAATCTTGCGCATAGCGATAAGAAATCGCTTCACCTTGGTTTTCTTATCAACAATTGAATTCTGAACTCTAAGGGAGGCTTAGTGTATCTATTGAGACAAGTATCTTTGAATTGACATATTAATACATATCGCAAACAAATGCAACGGAAACCGAAGTAACTAGTGGTGGACAGAATTGGTTCTACCCGAAACCGAATTTCGGTTACTTTATACAGAAAACTTATGCAACCATTTTGGCGTCACTTTTCTTTAATTTACGTTTAAACAATTATTAAAATATAATATTGCTATCATATTATTTACTAGTATCAATCTAAGTTAAGGCTTCATTAAATAGATTGACTTAATCGAGTTAAAATAATTTGTTTGTTTGAACGCGCTAATCTCAGGTACTACTGGTTCGAATTGAAAAATTATTTTTGTGTTAGACCATTTATCGAGGAAGCCTACAAAGGAAAAGTTTAATTGTTTTAACATGGTACTTATTTTTTGAATACAATTATAATTTACTGTCTGAGTCAGTGACTTCGTACACGTAGAATATCTATTTTTGATATTAATGTTTGTTATGGCAAACAGGAACAGACTATAAATTTAAGCTATTACCCATGATGTCGTACGCATCCCGTCGTTCCTGCAAGTTAATCTTAAAAAGATATACATTTTATCAGCGTACGCATCGAAAACCTGCAAAAATGAATAATTTTCCCCGTCTTTACAGCATTTTCCACTGTTCCTTCGCTCCTATTAGTCACAGCGCAATGTTTTATAGCCTACTAGCTTTTGCCCGCGACTTCGTTCGCGTGGACTTCAGGTTCGTCCCGTCTAGTCTAGTAATCAGCTAAGCACTGCAGAGCCCTAATCATAGGTCTATAGGTCGCTACTGCAGTATGCTCCTATAAACTACATTTAACGATCTTTTTCCTTCAGCATAAACATGCAGATTCCTCGCTTTGGAAAGACGTGAGCAAGCCACATAGAGCTGACCGTGAGAAAATTTTTATGTTTTTTAAAAAACGGCGAGACTCATCTGTTTCATTTGAAAAAAAAGTTCTTTAAGAGGTTCAACAGGCTCGTCTATTGAAGGAAGAACTACTTTTCCTCCCGAACAACACATGCCTCCTGCTTCCTCTTTCCATTTAAGAGCACCGCAAAATCTGCATTCTTTATTCATCGCTTCTATTTTTATAAGCTTGTGGCTTTCGTAATCAAGAGTTTCATCGTACTCAAATGCAGTTTTATCGAATGCTGTCGATCCTGCGACTGTTCGGGTGTCTCAGAAGCCTGTTGAGATCCCAGATATTCAGCGTTCTGTTGACGTCGAGATTGAGACTGTTCGGGTGTCTCTGCAGCCCGTTGAGATGCTAGATACTCAGCATGCTGTCGACGTCTATCTTGGGACTGCTCTGGTGTCTCAGCAGCTCTTTGAGCTGCCTCACGCTCTGCTTGTTTAAGCCTTCGCAGTTCGGCTTGTGGAAACGTCTCGTTAAGTCTAGCTACTTTCATATTTCGAGTTTTATCAGAGCTTCAGAAAGATTAGACTTACGCTTTCGCGGCATAATTCTTAAGTACGTGTTGTTTCTATACTTCCAAAAAATACAGTACGGTAGTTATTGTTATGATTGTACTTTAATGCAATCCTTGCCTATTTAATTAACCTATCTATATAGTAATTGAATTAAATGAAGTATCTTTTTGTACGTGTAACTCCTAACCAAAAAGAAACCTGGCAATAACAACCTTAGGCTTATATAACTAAAAGTAGGCGACCATACGTTTTTATCAAATCGCTAGTGCCTTGAAAATTCGCAAAACGGACACAACCGTCAACGACGTCTGCCCTCACGCGTCTGCCCGATTTCGGGTCGCGCACTCAGCGATGAGCCACTTCTTCCTTACCGCACCTACCCCGCTCCCCCCACGCCCCGTTCGCCTGGCACCGCTGCCGGTATTTATCGCCGAAATTCCTATGACTCTGCATTTTAAATCTGTGATATCTTCGAAAATATTTATTTAATTTACATGCTGTAAAAAGCCATATTGATCTTTAATAAATGCACAATGTATTTAAGATACTTAATTGGATAAGGATTAATACTGTATTGCTTAAAATCGCTTCGTAAATAAGCCATTATTTCTCGTACAAAGTAAAGGATAAAAAATGGTTATTGTGGGTTATTCCTAAGAGATAAACATATACCATCACGGACTTTTTTGGAGACCTTTTTAAGTTGTACAATACTGTAGTACATTGTTTTGATCTATCTTGTAGGATTCAGTCAGCGTTTGCAATGTAAGCGCAAAAAATGTGTTTTTTTACGACCCGACATTAAAAACCTCAAAAATTGTAGCCTATATGTTATTCTGATGTATAAGCTATATTGTGGTAAAGTTTCATTCAAATCCATTCAGTAGTTTTTACGTGAAAGAGTAACAAACATCCATACATCCATACATCCATACATCCATACATCCATACTTACAAACTTTCGCCTTTATAATAGCAGTAGGATAGCCTTCCTCGATAATGGCTCTAACCAACAAACAAACACTTGAGATATATACTTATCTAGATTATACTGCTTAATTTCAGCAAATTACTAATATCATAAACTGATACAAGTGTTTTACCTAATTACAACAATTACACGTAACGTAGTAGTTAGTCTACTTGTTATAATATAACGATCATAATGAAACATATATATTTTAAAACAGACATTATAGACTTTTATTTTTAAAATTATATTTCTGCGTGGAATTATGCTCGAAGCCGAATTTTCGTATAAGCCGAAACTGTATGCGAATCGAGCGTCGACCCATCCCTAGTATGTTTAGATAAATGTGTTGACATTAAGATATTTTGCAGGCGTGTGGTTTTAGTATGGATTTTGCATTGTGTGAGAATAACTTGCATTTATACAATGAATCATGTAATATGTATAGCTTATATTGTTTGTAATTTACGCAAGTACAAATTTCAATAAAGCACTTAACGGTTCAAAACACGAAATATAATGAGTTATTTACAATTTTCTTAGTCCCCCGTGACGACGGCTGCTATAAAGCATCCGAAGAATTGGGTTAAAATAAATTGTGAATGAGCTAACAAATATATTTCGCATTTTAAACGGTTAAGTGTTTTATTAAACTAGCTACTATTGTGTTAAAATGGAACGATTACATTATTGATTGTATTGTTAAGAATTATTTACGAAAACAAAATGTGACTAAGAAAAGTCGATTCCCTCTCATTGAGGTTCAAACATTCAAATAACCTTCAACAAACAGTCTAAGATTATTCAGAATTTTATCAAAATTGCTCAAGTCGTTAAGATGTAAATATGATCAAACATACTATACATATATGCTAATATTATAAAGCTGTAGTTTGTATTTTTAACGCGCAATTTTACGAACTACTTTGTTCTAATTTTATTTTTATAGGCTATTCATCGTGGAAGGAAATAGGTGCAAAAAAGGGGGAAAAGGGGGAAAATAACGGGGAATTCATTCAACTTCGAGTGCGTTGAGAAAACGATGTACGTAAGAATGATTCCTCGTTAAATGATCTAAAAAAATATCCGGGAAAGTAGATATATGTCTCAACAAAGACGGGACGCGGACGACGTCGTGGGTAACAGCTAGTAATTTATAAAGAGGAGAATCGCAACTTCATTATGTAAGAAAAATAATGATAGTATGACACATTCTTCAAACTTACCTTGACAAGTTCCTTTAGTCTCTCTCTGTTGTAGTGTGTACCAATTTCTTCACCCAAGAAGTAATCCAGAAGTTTGCTGGTGGGCCAAGCGAGGGGTGCGCAGATACCCATTACAATCTAAAAATTAAATAAAAATATAACAGTTTATAAACATTGTTCACGAAATAATATTACCCTAATATTTTATTTGTAGAAGAAACTTTAAATACAGTCTATAGTTTACGCGAGTAGTACAAATTTAAATAAATCACTTTAACGGTTTAAAACGCGACATATTAATTAAATTTGATTTGAAAATGATTTTTAACTTCGGCCCGACGTTTCGGATGCTTTGCAGCAGCCGTGGTCACGGGGAGACTGTGTGTGTGTTTTATTTAAAAGAAACTTTTCTATTTTCTCACATGATGGCGCTATATAAAATTAAAAATCGATTACAGCTAAGAAAATACATTGCGCGAGAGGTGCATGTATCGATAGCTTAAGAATCGACGATGACGTGTAGGACTCCGTAGCTTAATTGGTTAGAGCAACAGCACGGAATGCTGACGATGCCGGTTCAAGTCCTGCCCGAGTCGAAAATTTTTTCAATTTATTTTCGATTTTTATATCGTATTTCTTTTTTTAATTTATAATCGATTTCCAATTTGTAAAAAGATCGTTAATTAAACAATAAACTATTATGTAATTAGTAGTAAGTACGTAATTGTTATTATGGTCTCGTTGGTCTAATGGTAGCAATGTATGGCTAATAAACAACGGGTCGTGGGTTTGATTCCCGCCAGATCAAATTTTTTTTAAACAATTTAATATTTTTTGAAATATCATGTTGGACTTTAAATACTGTCTACAGTTTACGCGAGTAGTACACATTTAAATAAAACACTTTAACGGTTTAGAACGCGATATATTAGATTATAAAAATTAACTAATATATCGCGTTTTAAAGTGTTTTATTTAAATGTTGGATTTTTTTGGACAACCTGGATATTAAACGGGTGGTAGGAATATCGAAAATCCGCCCGGGAAACGAACCACCATCTACAGATGAAAAAGCCGTCAAGACTAATCGCTTTTTAGTTACATAAAAATTTAAGAGCACGGTGGTATAATTATATGTATCTTTTATTAGTTAATACCGAAACAGGATATAAATGGCCGCTTAGCGGGCGGAAAAAATCGCGTTTTAAACCGTTCAAACTGCTAAATTAAATTTACCCATTATAGACTTTAATAATATACTTTTTAAGCCACTTTAAATTGGAGTAAAGAGTTTATTTGTATGCCATATAATCTCTTCGCTAAAGAAGACCTGAGTCTTTAGTCTGAACTAAAACGTATCTATTTACCTTCATGATCCAAATACTCTTAGCACCGACCAAGAGACCATGTCTTGCGCAGATGGCTTGCGGTGTAATTTCAGCTATAAACACAATAGCAAGCGTAGATCCTATAACAGCCACAAGACCCGACGTCAGGTCATCCAGAATAACAGTAAACGTACTGTTAACAGCGACGTTACTCAGCAATATCGTACACAGAAGGTAGTTTCCGTGTGCACGGACCGGCATGATGGCTCTAGCGTACTTCCTCTCCTTCTCTGTTCCTGTGTTGGCGATGATACGCAGTTCTGTTCTGTCCAGAGCCATCAAACCCAAGTTCAGCCCGGAGAAGAGAGACGCGAGCATCAACAAGATCACGATGAGGACCAGAGAGGCCCATAGAGGGAGCAGCTTGTTGTGCGTGCCGAGGATCTTCCATTCCTCGCGACCCTGGTGGATGAATTCGCCCTTCGGAGTGTTGGTGGCGCAAATGTAGAATTTGTAGTCGTCTAGCGGTGGCGGGGCGAGCAGTTTGAACAGACCTGAGTCGGACTCAGCTTTCAGAATCTGGAATGGTATTTGAATGTTAGAAAAGACATTGGGAAAAAATTCGACGATGACGTGTAGGAAACGGTAGCTCAATTGGTTAGAGGAACAGCACGGAGCGCTGTACCAGTTCAGGTCTGCCCGTTTCGTAAATGTTTTTTTTGGTTTAAAATCGATTTTTAATTTAGACTTATCTAGTTTTACTAATCTTAACCTTAATGATTTGATTTTGATTTGATAATATCTGGTGCCAAAAGTCTCCCAGCGCTACCCCTAGCACTCTTTCAGTCTTGTATATTGGTGTTTAGATTCTATCTATCTTCTCTTGTTCTTGACAAGCATAGTGGCAGACAGAATAGGGTAACACTTTGATCCCATACGGAATACTCCTAATATGAGGCCGCTAGAAACAAAGTATAGGCTACTTTGCAATTTTATTAATAGACTTATTTATATGTTTATAGTCTAAAAATGTTAATCTATAGGAGCAGTGACCAAAATTGTTAATTCTTGGTTGGTAAATATTAAGCCACTCTGTCTCTAGCAGCCATCTATAAAGAGAATTAGAGAACAATAGTATACCTTATATTCTCCATCAATGAGGAACCGACAAGGCGTTCCGTATTCTTGAGGATGATGAGTGAATGCAATGGTGGTGTCCTCAGTAAAACCCTCACCAAACAGCCTCAATGTAAATTCTCTTTCTCGCAACACACTGGGTATCATGCCGTCGACAATCTTCGGCTCCTTTTCCGACTCTTCCACTCTCAAACCCATCACGCGAAGGGTGACATTGCTAGGAACTTTGGGATTGGTTTGAGTATCATCAACGATGGTTTTGGTGTCCACAACTTCTTCATTTGTGGCCTCAGTACCATTTGCTTCAACTTCGCGTTTCTGTCTTAGAGTATCTTTGAATGTTTCAACGTTATCATCAAATGCATCTGCGTACGCGTTGATTTTGAGATCATTATAAAATTTGGCATCTGTTTCTGATAAATATTCGAGATCTGGGGCGATTTCGTTCTCTTCAGACCTACAAGCGAGAGAATAATTTAGCGTTTCAGTCAGTCTAAAAACATATCTATACTTACTAATATTATAAAGCTGAAGAGTTCGTTTGTTTGAACGGGCTAATCTTCGGATTGAAAAATATTTTTTGTGTTTTTTACAACATTGTGTTATAACACAGGTAAGGTAAGGTTATAACACATCAGACTACGGCCAATAGGAGCAAAGTAACAGAAGGAAAAATGTATCATCTTTGACAGTTGCCATTGCCTGTGTTGCGAATACGGTTTAAGAAACCAAAAAATATATATGTATAAAATATTCTATATAAGATTCTTCTTTAAATGATCTAAAGAAAAGTCGGCGATAGTATATGTCTATCTTTAAGATTAACACGTAACGACGCGAGGCGAACGACGTCGTGGGTAACAGCTCCAAAAGGAGTCCAAAAGTCCAAAATAACTATTCCACGCAGACGAAGTCGTGGCCACAGCTAGTGTTAGCTAAAGCGGATTTAATTGAGAGTCTCTCGCAAATTATTTACAATCACTTGGGTTCGCCATAAACTTTTTATACTCGCAAAGCCATGACCTCATCCCGGCATAATATTAACAAAATGGCCGCAACGTCGCGTGACTAGAAACGTTTTATGCGAACGTCCGATTTAGTAAACATTTTATTATTCAGTTGGGACGGACTAATGTGAAGCCGGCCTAAATGTTAATCACTAATATTCGACCTCTGTTTTGCTTACGCTAATATTTTAAGTAAATATATGTGGCGTTTTAAACGGTAAACAAAACCTATTTTTTAATATAATATTTGAGTATTGTGTGTAGTTTACGCACATTCAAATAAAACAATTTTAACGGTTTAAAACGCGAACTAAAAATGTATACTAATCCCCGCTATGCGTCGGATATTAGTATAAAATATATTTTACTATTATATAATATTTAAACATTGCATATAGCTTCAGCAGATTTAAATATAACACTTTTAACGGTTAAAAATGTGCTTATCCGCGCTATGCGTCGGATAGTAGTCAAAAACGAATATATGTTGCGTTTTAAACCGTTACAAGTGTATTACTATGGCTTTAACTATATAAAATATCTTTGTCTATGTTTAATTTATGTATTATTAAAAAACAATAGTTTTTTTAAGAATTAATAAATCAATTCACAAACACACACCCTATAGTAAATGATCGTCTTATCATTCTATATTAGACAAAGTATAGAAATACCAATAATGAGATATGACCAATACTTGCATTTCTATTGCAACAGATTGTTTTATTCAAATAAAACACATTAACGGTTTAAAACGCGATATATATTAGTTAAACTTATTTGAGAATTGTTTTAAGCAGCCGAACAGGGCGACAGTTAAAATAATTTTCAAACTCGCGTAAACTACAAACAGTATTTAGATTGTTTTATATTTGTATTTGAAGACTCGTTATTTTTGTGGTATTGGAACCCGACTTTTGTTTGTGAGATCCGCAATTCGATTCTCGGTCGTGCACCTATTTTTGTCTTTGTTTGCTCGTACTGGGTGACAACAGAACAGAATTGTTGGGGCAGAAAGATTCTAGAGTGAAGACCATGTACTTCGAAAACCTGGACGTGCTCCTACCAGGTGGACCGATGACCGGGTCAAAGTGGCGGGAAAATGCTGGGTTCGACTAGCAAACGACTGGTCAAGCAAGTTTTTGGGGGAGGCCTATGCCCAGCTGTGGACACCGGAAAGATGAAACGATAGACTCTCATCCCATCGAGTCCCAACGGTGGGAAATGTTATAATGCTGAAGAAAGTATGTGTTAAGACAATTCCTATGCGCAATACAAAGGAAAATAATTACGCAACATACAAAGATAAGTTGCTTACATACACTATCAATAAATACTTGAATGAGATATGGGTCAAGAGGAACGTTGATATGTAGGGGTGAATTGTTTGGTTACGTATATACAGGCGGAGCAAAAAAAATTGGACTTTTAATTAATTAAAGTATCGAATTTGAAGAATACTATCTATGCCAGTGACTTTGTCCACGTTGGAGAGTTATTTTGGCATCAAATATTGGTTTTGCAAACCTACTCCTCCACAATTTTAGTTGTCACCCTCGACGTCATCCGCGTTAAGTCGTTCTTGCGATTTCATCTTAATAGATAGATAGATATGTATTGTCGCGGGCATTTTTAGATTAATTAATGAGGAATTGTTCTTACGTGCATATTTTTTAGGTATCTTAAATTGTTTTCGCAGCGCACGCGACGAAAGCCCACAAAGATAAATCATTTTCCCCATTTCTTCCACATTTCCCGCCGTTCCTTCGCTCCTATCGGTCGCAGCAATGTTATAGCCTAAAGCCTTCCTCAATAAATGCTCTAACCAACACAAAACTTAACAATTTATAATTTTTCCGAAACACGTTGCACATCGTCTGGAAATCTGGATATTAAATGCGTGGGATCGAAATTCCGTAAGGATACGAACCACAGATAAAGCCGTGAAGTTATGTTAGTTATCTAAGCTCATATTTAAGTTTTTTATTGTGTCTTGTAAAATAAAAGGATTGAGTTTGACGTTTAATGACGTTTGGACTTTAGGTTTGTAGATTTCCGAATGTCCAAAGCCAAAATAGACAACGCGTTTAGATGCTATAGGCTGTGGTATGGTATGGTACCATCTAGTGAATCATAGGATTCATACAAGCATAGGCTTGTCTGTGCACAATCACAATCACCACACTATTTTATGTTAGTGTGATATCACGACTTAAATTAAATAATTAACGCAAAGTCCATACAAAATTCCGTATACTTAGTTTTACGGTGGTCATAAACGCCGTCTGGCCGAAAAGATTGGCGAGGAGCCAGATATCTACGTCATCATCGTATTTTAAGAGGCGTTTGCGAAATGCGAAAGACGTCAATGGACTGATGCCGAATTGTGTCTGCTGTGAATTACAAAGGCAACATAGGTCGATAGCACATCTATACTAAAATATAAAGCCGAAGAGTTTGTTTGAACGCCCTAATCTCAGGAACTAGTGGTTCGAATTGAAAAATTTTTGGTGGTGGTTAGAGCATTTATCGAGAATGTATGGTATAAAACATCGTGATGCCATCTATAGGAGCGAAAAAACAACGGGAAATGTGAAGAAAACTGGAAAAGTTGTTCATCCTTGAGGGTTCCCTTGCGTACCTACTCTACGAAAACGGTTCAAGATACCAAAAACATGTAATGAAATATATGTGAAAGAATTATTCATCTTTAAGTGGTCTAAAAACTTGCAAGAACGACGGGACGACAGCTATAATTTATAAAAATGTGGAGGAGAAATGGGGGGGGGGTTTGCAAAAACAATTTTTTAAGTCCAAAATAACTATTTGACCCAAAATACGATTCTCGCGGACAAAGTCACTGACACAGCTAGTATAGGTATAAGTACTTTTTTCAATTGATCAGAGCAACATAATCATCAAGTCATCGGCACGTCAAACACAAATAGAGAGATAATTGTACTCAGTTTTTCGAGGCTAGATAACAATAATCCCAAATAGCGTGTTTAAGTTATTACTGATAAGCCAAGATAAATTTGTCATATCTGTTCGCAACAAGAGCTCGACTGCGTCCTCAAATCCTTTACGTCAAATGCACTTATTAAAGTCAATGAGTAAATTATACTAATACTAGCTGCGCCGGCGACTTCGTCCGCGAGATCGTTATTTTGGGCATCCAAACTCATTTTTGCAAACCCCTTCATCTTTATAAACTTAAGCTGGTAGCCACGACGTCAGTCACGGGCCCTTCCTGTCGTTCTTGCAAGTTCGTCTTAAAAGATAGACATGTACTGTCGCGGACATTTTTTTTAGATCATTCAAAGAGAAAGCATTATTTCTTACATATTTTCCCCGTTTCTACCATATTACCCACTGTGCTCCTATTGATTTAATCGTGATTTATAGCCTGAAGCCTTCCTCTAACACAAAACTATCTAAATAAAACACCGTAACGGTTTAAAACGCGATATCTTTTAGTTAAACTTGTTTGAGAATTATTTTTAACTACAGCCCGACGTTTCAAATGCTTTACAGCAGCCGTGGTCACGGGCAGACCTCAAACAAGTTTAACTAAAATATATCGCGTTTTAAACCGTCAATGTGTTTTATTTAGATGTGTGCTACTCGCGTAAACAGCCAGTATTTAATGCAAAAATATTTTCAATTAGAACCAGAAGTATTACCAATTTGACAGACAAACATTGATGTTAACTCGATGGTAGGTAAAATATTCCAGCCACACAACATCTACACCAGATGCGCTGTCGACGTATTTGGCCTATATTGGTTCCGGAAATAGGGAAATCTACAGACTGAAACCGAATTTTTTATCTGTGGACATACAATATCCAGATTTCTAGATTAAGTCCAACATTTAAATAAAACACTTTAACGGTTTAAAACGCGATATTCCCCGTGACCACGGCTGCTGCAAAGCATCCGAAACGTCGGGCCGAAGTTAAAAATCATTTTCAAATAAGTTTAACTAATATATCGCGTTTTAACCCGTTAAAGTGTTTTATTTAAATGTGTACTACTCGCGTAAACTATAGACAGTATTTGAAGTCCATCATGTTTCAGAAATCTTATAAATTGATTTGAAACATGTTAGACCTAGCGAGGATCGAATCCACGACCAGGCTTATTAGCCGTACATTGCTACCATTAACCAAACGAATCCGTCAAAACAGACCGATTATTAAATATTATTTAAATAAAACACTTTAACGGTTTAAAACGCGATATATTAGTTAAATTTATTTGAAAATGATTTTTAACTCGGCCCGACGTTTCGGATGCTTTACAACAGCCGTGGCCACGGGGAAACTGTTAAAATCATTTTCAAATAAGTTTAACTAATATATCGCGTTTTAAACCGTTAAAGTATATTATATTAATGTGTACTACTCGTGTAAACTATAGACAGTATTACATTTTATTTTATAAAAGC